TCCTAGATTACAATTCCTAACAGGATCTGGAATGTCTGTTTTGTGTATCATGCTGCAGCTGTATGGAACTCCTTTTTAGATACTTTCATGACTATTTTAATTTGAGGAAAAGAATCGGGTTTCCTGGAATTTCTGTTTACTTCTTCATCTTCCCAGATATCTCCGGTGTAATACTTGAAGAAGTGATTTTATTTCTTCCTTTAATATTGTTACCACTCCTTTGGCTTATTCCTCTCTGGGTTCCATGCAACTTTTATTGTTTTCATTATTTTACTTAACACTTGGTATCATAAATATTTGGCATATGTATATAGAGTGTTTTTATTAGAGTTTATTTTTCCCAGAAGGTCTCATTCAAAAATATGTGATCATCAAGTATATCTTGCAAAGTAACTCCCTGCTTAAATGTCGTTACGCCTTATTTCTTAAAGATTAAGATTTAATCCATTTGCCTTAGAAAGCATCATAACAACCATATTCCATAGCTGAAGGGAAATCAGTCTTTTTAAAGGGATACCATAAGTGTTAAAAAGTAAATTGACCTTTTTTCATGCTTTTGTCAATTTCACACCACTTTTATTCAATTCTGTTTGGTGAAGTAATTTTTAGTACTTATTGACCTCCTCCGTGAAAACCATTTCAGTGGTTACTAATGATTCGTTATTCAACTTTTCAACAAGGCTGTCCTTGAATTTGTAGCAACACAGAGAAGTGCCTTGGTCCAACACATCTGTTATATTAGTCAGGTTTTAGTTCTCGATTATGGGAATCTCAGAAACCACTTGACTGGGTTCAGGTTATCTGTGAATTTTCATATTATTTTATGGCCAACGGCTGCATTTTATGGCTATATATTAAAGGTTTTATTTTTTCAAATAACTCTTCCAAATGGTCTCAATTTTCCATCCAAGGGAAGTCAAGCATATGCCCAGATATCTACTGTTCAGCAAGTTACAGATAGTGCAAAGCCCCAAATAAATGAGAAATAGACAAAAATAAAACCCTTGAATGAAAGAAAGAAAGAAAGACTAGTGTGCCTAAAACTCTACGTTCCTGACCTTTCACTCTGTCTCCTTTTGGTTTGTCATATCTTCAGCTTTTAATTGGAACTTTTTTCATAATTGCTGCCATTGAACACATTTAGTCTGTCAAATTGTGGGATGTCTTTATAGCTATATAATAAACCCTAGAGAACAACTTCTCTGACTGTAACCATCTGCAATGATCACAAGAGTAGTTTACAAAATACTGACAGTCTTTATGGTAATAGGATACATATGGCAACCCACAATTATGTGTAGCTGCATTCAATTAGTGTTGTACAATTACACAGTTTTATTGCTTAGTTAAAACAGTGAAAGCACTACATAGTGAGTAATTTGCACTAATCCCCATCTCTTTAATAGCTCCTCGGTGTTTAAAGTATGAGGAGACATCGATAGCATTTAAAGGACCTGGAATGAACATTAAATTATATCTCATGTTGTGAATACTCCTTGACTGACAATGAATGTACTCCCACTTCACGTGTGGGTCATATTTTATAGAGCTTTAAAATACAGTAGCCAAAAGTTCTCCTTACACTAGAACCCCACACGTTAGATAAGGTGGCCAAGTCTCTGCTTGCAGCCTGCTAACGTCCTTTCTGAAAGGTGATCAGTTGGAGAGAAATACTGAGGAACAGTGAGAATGGACTCCAAGAGTAATAGCCAAGGATTCAGTGTTTTAAAGGGGAACTTTCTCATTTCTAACTTTTAATTAAAAACCTGGATCAAGGGGAATTTATAGCTGCTATTTGGGAAAATGTTGAGATGGTTTTGTGACAAGGTGTATGTATGGGGTTCTGTGTGTGTGTGTGTGCTTGAAACAATGTATTGGACAATCTGTGACCTTTCACAAAGTTCTAGTTACATTTGCAAATGGCTTCACTCTTGCTCTTCTGTAACTGGCTTTGCAACAGATAAGGGTGACTGAAGCTGCTGTGCCGGCGGGCACTGACGGTGAGCCCTAGTTGTGGGTGGATGCATTATGCCCCTTAGGAGAGGGCTTCTACTGCAGGAGAAGAAACGCTGGACTATGTTCTTCTCCATCCTTCTCCCAAAGTGTTGACAGGAAAAAAAAAAGACCAAAGTAACCTTGTTTCCTGCCCTGTCTGACAATATGTTAAACAGAATTCCAAACTCGAGGTCTGGACATTTACTCACCTGCAAAAACATTTTGTTGAAGCATTTTTAATGCGCTTGTGTCTTGAAGTGTTTTCAATTACAAGTAATAAGCCTTTGCCTCTAAGCTGTCTTTGTCTTGCCTAAATATCCCTTGAACCTCTTTATAGTCATGAAAATTCTACTCTAATTGCAAAACAAAAAGGAACATTTTACAGGTGACTAAAGAAAGATTTTTAAAAAGGAATATTCAATCTACAGATGCAATGTATTCTATTTAAATCATTTTGAATTTTTCAAAGTGTTACTTTCAGGTAATCTCCATTTTCTTTATTTTAGGTAGATTTCATAATTCTTTTTCTTATGTTTGTGATGCTGAAGATTGAATATAGGGCCTTGAATTTTTCTTATTTATTGAAAATTGCTCATCTTATATATCATTATTTTAAACATAATTAGTATATGGCTATATTTTGAATGGAATTCCTATTAAACTACAGATACTTAAAAGCCAAACCCTGGCTGCCTGTAGGAGACTTACAGGTCATATTTAGAACTATAATGGAAGTTAACAACTGGATCCTCCAACATCTGGTTTTGTAAATCTTTTTAATAAAGTTTGGTGTAATAGAAACTGAATTTTAAAAAAAATTAAAATTTCTCCATAAATAGGACTGAATAGGCCAAAATCTATACAATCTCACAAAGCATATATCATGAATGTTTGAACCTAGCAGAACATCAAAGCAAGTGGTTATTTTGCATTTTAGAAAAGTTATTGGTTGCCACTTGTAGTACCTTATGCCTGTAATCCCAGCACTCTGGGGAGGAGGCTGAGGCAGGAAAATTGCTGCAAGTTCAAGGCCAGCCTCGGCTTCATAGTGAGTTCAAGGCCAGCCTCGGCTTCATAGTGAGTTCAAGGCCAGCCTGAACAAACAGCAAGATGCTGTCTTGAAAAAACAAAAACTCCCCTAAACAGACAGACTGAAAACAAAGAAAAGTTATTAAACAAAATGGAAGTAAAGAAGTAAACAGTTTTGCTCTGAGAAATAAACTAGATTCTGCTAGATGTTTATATCTCATATTTCTCATGAAAACATTTCCTTATTGTTTAAATGACCAGAATGGCTGGCATGTTAGAGCTACAATTTAGTGATTTCTTAGGCTTGAGAACATTTAGGCCCTGAGACCTCAAAGCCCTATCCCAAACCAGTTTATGGTGACCAGGACTGCACTGTTGATTCATAATAGTGTCCATCTCTGATTATAGCTGGTCACATGGCTGTCCCTGCCCTAACCACCCAAGTGCAGGTGACCCCACAGATCTTTGAGTGCCTTTCCCAGGCATCATGATCAAGCCCAAATTTGATCATGATGTAGAGCCTTGGGAAAGAAGGCTTCACACTCTGAGTGTGGACAAGTTGTAAAAGAATAAATTCTACTCAAAAGAGACACAGTCTCTCCAGACAGGAGGATCTGTTTGTCTTCCTCTGCCAAAACAGTTGGATCCAACTGGTCATTGCTGATACTGCAGCTCAGCTGGCCAAACATCTGCAGTTTGTGCTGCAACAGAATGCAGAGTTAGTCGACTTTTTCTGAGGGCAGACATGGGGTGTGAACGGTAGCAGTGCTCCTGACGTGCGGAGATGTCTCTTGCTGTGCAAGACTGCTTCAGCAAGTAACAGATGATCCTAGAGTGATAACAGAAGGACATCCAGTCTCAGCTTGCTGGATGAGTTTTCTCTCTCTCTCTCTCTCTCTCTCTCTCTCTCTCTCTCTCTCTCTCTCTCTTTTCCTTGTGATGTACAGGGAAAGAAAGCTTCACCATTTCCTTAAGAAATCTGAAGATTGCCCTTGCTGGAAGTATTAGATATGTATTGCAGTTTTCTTTTCTTTATTTTGTTTAGTCTAACTGAGGGCACTGAAGAAGAATTACAAAGAAACTGTGACGCTGCTTTGAAATCACAGAGGTGTTTGGGGTAGTGTTTAGAGCATCTCATTTGGTTTGATCATGAGCTAGAATTAAAGTGAGATAAATACTTGCTAGAATGATGGCCATCCTTTTTGATTTGTTGAGTGAAACCTGGAAACTTTTGCTGCCTTAATAAGGTAACCTGGACAGAATGCTGACTCTGCACCCGATTTATCTCTCCAAATTGCCACAGGTGAAGTGAAATGTTAATGTCCCTTTCACTTATTAATAAAAAATGTAAATAGATCTCATTAGGAATTTGGAGCTCTAAAAATGAAGTATTTCAGCATGTGCATAGATAATTTTTGTTCATTCCCTGAAGGACTGTTCCTATGTTGGAAGGAAGAAGTCACTCTCATAAATTGGGGAGGCTGCAATAGAGAATTTCTGTGTTTCATTTTATTATGTAAATTGATTTTAATTGCAGAGAATATCAAATACAGATAAGAAAAAGGGGGAAATATCTCTATAATCCTTACCATCTGACACTAGAGGCACCAATACTGTGTTCTTACAGACTTTCGGTCATATTTTTTTCTTTAATATGAAAGAATCTGTAACCTGCTATGGTCAATTGCCAAACTAAATGTGTTACAATAATTTTAATGGTCCACTATTTTAATGGTCAAGAATATCTCATCGTAAAGGTATACTAATTTACTTGACAACTTTTCATTTACTAATTGTCCATATATTCCATTTTGTGGAAATGTAAAGAAAGATATTCTTCTAAGGATATCCTTGCATAATTGCTAGATTTTTTAACTGTACATGCTTTAAATTGAAACCTGTGTCTCTCATTTTTCTAAGGAAAGGTTTTGGAGCTCTTGATTTTAAGGTAACAGTGGTTTTCGCTTTTGTTTTAGGTATATGAGCACCAAGATGGTAGCAAATCCCTGAAGCTGGGCGACTTTGGACTGGCCACCATTGTGGATGGGCCACTGTACACAGTCTGTGGCACCCCAACATATGTGGCTCCAGAGATCATTGCAGAGACTGGGTAAATGCTTCCCCTATGTTTAGTGCTTGGGTTATGAAAGAGCTGGCCTGCTTCAAGCGTGCTGCTCCATCCAGACAGCCTTAGCTATGGGATTTCTTTCACACCTAAAAAAAAAAAAAAAAGAAACCCTTTGCAGTGGGTGCTAGTTTCTCTGCTTCCTCAATTAAGTTGCCAATTACAGCTGTCTTGTTTAAGGCTTTTATTTGGCCAGTAAAAGGCAGAACAGCAGTTATTAAACCCAGAGCAAAAAATGTTCAGACTAACAGAGAGACATACAGCGATGGTGACTAACTCACTTTCAAGGATAAAAGTTACAGACTGCTGTGTGCAGTGGTCACAGTTTCTGGTGGTTGTCTCTCAGCTGCACTTTTCCAGCCTGGTTCCCTGTTGATCCTCTTAGAGATCTGTTAGTTTCTTGTGGAATATAAGCACTCTTAGGAATCAGAGGGCTACTGGGAATTTGCTGGCTTCTATGTATAGATTCATATCAATGAAAATGAAAATATCTACCCTAGAATGAGAAAGGAGAAAATGGGAGCACCTACTGCCTACTAAGGACCTGCTGTCTGATAGGTCTTAAACTTGTGTACTAAATTCATGGTCTCCCACTAAGCAGACCAGTTCCCGCTGTGCCTACGGGGACTCGGAGACTCTGCACCTGATGGACTAATTACCCTGCCGGTCATGACCAGTTAGTGGCTGAATTAATATTTGAACTCAGATCAGGCTGAGAAAAAGGAGCTTCCAGTAAAAATCCATAGACAGGGCTCTGAGGTGCTAAACATCGACAGAAGGTATGGGGAGGGGAGAGTGGAAAGGGGACATTGCCCTAACATCTCATGAGCAGTTTTGACCCATATCCGGAGATCCAGGTGGCCTCCTCCATTGTGACCACCTAGAAATAGTTTTTCAGCTTGTACCGTAGACCCAGTGAGCAAAAAGAGCAGACATGAAGGACTCTGACAGGGAAGACCCTAAGAAGACATATGAGAGAAGGAGAACTTTTTTATTCATCAAATTTAGTGATTTAAGATCTTGCCCTAGTATGTTGCTTGACTGCCTTCTGAGGGTGCTGTCTGGATATAGCCACATTTCCTAGGGGGACAGATTCTGACAGCCTGTGGGGTGGAAGGAGCCAGGTGGGAAAAAGCTTTAGGCTCTCAAAGACTTTGGTGGGAGCCCACATCTGCCACTGGTCAGCTGTACTATCTTGAGTAAAATTACCTCTGTGAACCCCAATTTTTTTCTTCTATAAAATGAGCAACACTCACCTTATCCAATCTACAAAATTCTTGAGAAAACAAAATAAGATAATATATGTCAGTGCTTACAAACCAGGAAATGTTCTTCAAATGATTATTATCTCTAAAGTCACTCACAGGCCTCTTTCCTATTTTAAAAATTGATATGATTATAATACATCATTTTGCTTAAACCTTTCAGTACTGATATTTGGATATGAGCTCAGGCACCACTTATTTTGATTTTTACTCATGTGCCTGAGATAATCTCTTTAAAAATCATTAATTTTTTATTCTTACCTTTAAGTCTGTTTAGCTGTCAGGTTTCAGCTAACAATTACTGTTAGCTTTAATGATTGTCGTTAGGTTTTTATTTTGTTCAGTTTCACATTGGATTTAGAACACAAGCTTCATCTATTTTACCATGCCCTGTAATCTCTCCTGGCCTGAATTTGCTAACTCTAACATTACTTATTTCTCCAGATACGGCCTCAAGGTGGACATCTGGGCTGCTGGTGTAATCACTTACATCCTGCTGTGTGGTTTCCCTCCGTTTCGTGGGTATGGACAATAAATAGTTTTTATTCAGCACGACCACACATTTGTCTATTTCCTAATGATCCTCTTGGTCTTCTGACATAAATGAGACTATAGCAGGAAAAAAATACTGAGAATTTCACTTGCAATGCATGTTCTTTTCCAACGCTAATACGTATGCCTTCCATACATCTTTCTCATATAATTTAAAAACTCATTATTTCTTAAGTGACCAAAACAGTTGCATATTGATACATTCAGTTAATTCAAAGACACACATTGTACACATCTACAGGAAAAGGAAGGTCTCTGATGCTTAAAAATGACAAGTCTAGGGGCTGGGGGTTTAGCTCAGCGGCATAAGCGCCTGCCTGGCAAGCAGGTGGTCATGAGTTCGATTCCTGGTACCGATAAAAATGAAAAAGACAAAAAAAAAAAAAAAAAAAAGAATGACAAGTCATACTGTGAGCTGACATTTCAGTGCTTTTTTTCTTGTTGTGGTTCATGTACACAGAAGTGGTGATGACCAGGAGGTGCTCTTTGATCAGATCTTGATGGGGCAAGTGGACTTTCCCTCTCCATACTGGGACAATGTTTCTGATTCTGCAAAGGTAGGTTTCCAGTGCCTTCCTCTTCAGTATAGGGCATCGTGAAGGAATTATTGATTACAAAGACAAACTAATAATATTGTAAACATGATTGGTGTACACATTTTAGCTGTAAGCACTAGGTCTGCTAAGATTTCACGGGCTAGAAATATTGTATAAAGTCAGCTTCAAGTTATGTAGATAAGATGCACATGAAACAGTTGAATTTTGTGTTTAGACTGAAATACTGCTTCTGTTTTCAAGCATTTTGAGCAATGAATATGTGACTTCTATCATATTTCCAAAAATTGACTTAAATTTTTGGAAATTTGTTGTGGAAAAGTAAAGATTTTTTTGTTATAATCCTTCATTTGTCTTGGGTAGAAGTTCAATTTAAAATCTTAACTTTTAAATCTGATCATTTGACATAAAACTGATGTATACTGAGCACAAGTGTCTCATTTTCTTCCAGTGTCCAGCAGTCCACATCTGGACTTAGGACTATGTAGAGACCTGAGAGAAGCTCCAGAGAAAAGTTCCAAAGTGAAAGGAGCTGGGATGATAGGGCTAAGGGGACCGTGATGGGGAGGCATTTTCATCTGTCAGCAGGTGCAGGAAGCTGCCTAAGTCTGAATGGTCTCACCTGTTACCTGAAAGCTCACCCTCACTGATAGATAGGACCATCTCCCTCGACCCCACGGCAGCAGGCAAAGGGCATCACACACAATGTCTTGATCCAAGTTAGAAAATGAATAAAGGAAGCTGAAGTAGACTCTCTGTGGTCCCCAGATCTTGTGTGTGTAAAGAACTGGATAACAGGGGCTGGGGATTTAGCTCAGCGGCATAAGCGCCTGCCTTACAAGCAGGCAGTCGTGAGTTCAATCCCTGTACCAATAAAAAGGAAAAAAAAGAACTGGATAACACATATCGAGGCAATTTCTTTTGCATGAGGACTCCTAATTCAAAGGGGACAAACTCATTATGAAGACCTCAGCAGTATCTTCCTGGTCCAGTTTGAGTTTGTGAGGACTTTCATTCCTTTCAAAAACCAGCAAATTATGTGCCCTTTCACACCTTGGTCTTCTTGGTATCAATAAGTCTGTATAGTTTTGAAGCAACTCTAGCACCCATCCTTAGGATTGTTTAGCAGCTGCAGAATAGTCCTATTAGGCTGGGGATATCGCTCAGCAGTGTAAGAGCCCCTGGGTTCAATTCCCAGCATCTCCCCTTCAAAAGTTCTGTTTTACCAACTAACTATTGGCAATTCTACATCATTCTTCATTCTTTTCTTTCAAACTAAATATGCCATCTGGAAATTAGTGAAAAAGTCTACTTTTCCTTTCAACTACCAAAGTGGAAATTTAGTTTTTAAAGAAATCTGGCATGTAAAATTATTCTAAAAAGCTGGCTTTAAATTGTAAAACCCTAGTCAAAAGTGGGGCTAATAATATGTTAGTGTGTGTAAAGTTTTTTTCTTTTCTACTAAAATCTTTTTATAGAATTTTTCTTTCGCTTTGGAAGATGTTATTCAGGTAGTCACAGGTAAGTGGAGTTGATATAGTCAAGCTTTAGAGATTTATAAATGCTTTTCTAAATTAAAAGCGCATGCCTGCTTGTAGAGACAGCCGGTTTTTCACCTTCAAAGTCAGATAAATAAAGTCTCATGTTGCCCTTCCCAGGAGCTCATTACCATGATGCTGTTGGTCAATGTGGATCAGCGATTTTCAGCTGTGCAGGTGCTTGAGCATCCCTGGGTTAATGTAAGTGATCTCTTCTCTTCCAGTACATGTTCCTAATGTTCCAATTGTAAAAGATTTGTAGATTTCTTAATGACAATGCCTCCGTTATAAAATGTGCTATTCAGGTTTGTTCCTCCTGTAAATATGCCAGGCCACCGCAGGATCCTACACATGTTCCATGAGGGCATCTGCTGTGTGCATTTCATCCGACTTCCACTGAATAGCCTTCATACAAGGCAAGCTCATGTGATCCTTACCTGCCCTACAACCTATGTCTCTGGCCAAGACCAGGGCTGAGTAAGCACCAGACAGAGCAGATTCTCTGAGCCTGTACTGCTTTATTGTCATGCCAAACAAAAAGTTCAGATGACCCTGGAGATTCTGCATATACCTCAGAGTACTGGAGTGTGCTTACAGAATATCTGCACAGCTCCTGAAAGGCAGATTGTCCTGTGGTAGGTTCAATGCTCTGCATTTCTTAAAGCTCCTAGATGCTGCTTCTGTGGCTGTACTTTCAATACAGGTCCTGATGGTATTTCTTCAGCTATAAAAGAATTCTACAGAGAAGAGTTATTAATTGTTAGTCCTTTAGCTCTCTGCAACAGATTGATATGGTTTGCTCTGATGAATAATAATAAAAGTTAATACCCATAGAGTGCTAAACTTCCAGAGACCACCACAGCCTTGTAAGTTACTAGCCTGGTTACTACTATAACTGCTGTTAGCCGGTGAGGAAGTTTCATGCTTAGGTTGTCTGGTTTTTACTGCCAAAATATAAGACATGACGGTGGATACAGATACAGACAGAGAAACAGACAACCATAAAATTGTGAGCTCATTTTTCACCAGCTTCCCTCAGATCTGGCTATAAACTGAAAGCAACAGAAGTCCTCTTTAGTCTGAATTGTCACCTGGGTGTGAGTAGTAAGGATATTTCTTTTCATAATAACTGATTATGGAGGACAGGCGTGACTGAAAGCACAGTCGACACGTGAGGTGACTACGTGGAAGGTGACAAGAGACCAGGATCTTATTCACATTCTGCCACTTACACTCATTGGCGTGGGTTCTAGCACTTTATGTCTGAGCAGATTCTTCACACTCTACTGCAAGGTTATATGTATATGGCGCGGTAATATAAAAGAAAAATGAGCATGTACAACAGCTATGGTTTAAATCTTTTTATATAACAGAGCATTCTAAGAGGTGTACAGGTGTGCAAAGATATTAACACCTCAGTCCCTGGAAGGGTGGGACAGGGGCACTCATGTCCAGCAGTGGTCACTTTGAACCTCAGCAACCTGTGTGTTTATCCCAGCATGCTAAGCAAAAAGATCCTTTTCTATGAAGCGAAAAAACTGAGGAAGCATCTTATTTAACCCTAACAACAAGCTTACACAGTAGGCAGCCTGAGTATTGTATCCATCTTGCATATCAGGAGACCAAGGCTCTGGGGGATGTTTTGCCCAAAGTAGATAAACTTGCAATTGACTCAAAATTTGTAGCCAATTAACCTCACTCCACGCTGTGCAGAATACTACCTCTACCTTCCTTTTTCATAGGTAAACCATGGTGAGGGTAACAAAAGGGTACAGTATGGATTATTAGCACAAACTAATTTACCTAGATCTCAGTGCCTTCCCCTTAGATGTGCTGGAGCGCTGAGCCACAAGCCACCTGCAGGCCCTCTAAATGCATTTGGTTCCACAAAGTGTCATACTGCGCATCAGACTTAGAGAGACTGAGACAGGGTGAGCATTCACAGAATAAACTGGAAAATCTGAATTCGGAATGTGGCCTTCTGGGGCTCATAATGAGCTACAGAGGAAGGATTCATAAGTTGATAAGTAGCCATTTCAGATTTCACTTCCTGCCACACTTGCTCTCTAGCAGCAGTGTGTGACACAACCAGAGAGCTTGGGGCACTGAGTGAACCAAGGAGCCTGGTGAGGTTGGGGTGGGCGTGGAGGTCCTGTGGAAAATCAGAGCTCAGTTCTGAGAAATCTGGGAAGCAGGTGTCCAGTAGGGTCAACTCCAGCCAGGTGTAGATACTTGCTAAGGACAGCTTTGTGACTGTGACCAAATGTATCTATATATGAGGGGACAGCTCTAACAATAAAAGTCCAGCCCAGCTGGGGTAGGGGAAAAGCTAAAAAGCTTCAGGTTGTTACTTTTCAAAAACTAAAGTTGTTCATTTTCACACCTAAGACATATGTGCATATGTGTGTGACTGGTAACTTTCTGCCTCTTCTATCTGCTTTGTAGACATTGCTGGCAATTCCGGTGGCTCTGTGGAACTTGAATTTCTATTACCATGTCAGCTTTTCTCTCAGATTACCTAAACTTACTTTCTCAAAGTAAGAATAACATTTAATTAATCACCTAGGAGGCTTAAAACTCAAAACAAACTATCCTTTATATAATTCTAATAGATTTTTACATTCTGAGGGGGAAAGTCTGTATTTGTTTTAGCAAAACCTCCAGGGAGTCATGGTGGTATAAGCTTGTAGAACCAACACTCTAGGCCAGCCTAGGATATGTAAGGGGTTCGTGGCCAGCCTGGGTTACATAGTGAGACCCTGTCTCAAATAAATAAATTTTTAAAAGCTAGGGGTAGCAGGGTATAGTGGCATATGTCTGTAATCTTAGTATTCTAGAAGTTGAAGGGAAGAGAATCTTAATTTTAAGCCCAGCCTTGGAAATTTAGTGATTTATCAGGATTCTGTCCTAAAATAAAAACAAAAACTTGGTGTAGAAACTGATGGCTTCACTTTTGAAATGATTTTTATATAGCAACTAAGTCAGAAAAGCACTTGTCTCAGAACAACAAATAAAAAATGTAAGCATTCACAACCAGCATTTGGTATCTGTTGAGATCTCCAAGTGGAACACACAAAAGGCAGAAGAGCCTCCCAAATAAATTTGTTATGTAAAAGGATATCCATTTAATAAGACATTTTGCGTTTGGCAATCAAATTATATCTGATTGCCACAAAAAGATGCTTCCTAAGGGGCAGGAAAGTAATGATAATTATGTGAACTCTGAGGAAGTGGCAGAAAGCTCCTCCTTTGCTCTCATTAGTTCTGATTTCCTCTATGCCTCATATGACGACCTTTTCACCTGGCACACATGAAATGGAAAAGGTGACCTCTTCCAAAACAGAAAACAGAGCATGAGGCAATAGAATTGAAAAATCGAGTCAGGAGAAGTCACTTATTTTAACTTCTCTCCAGGAGTTTTTTCTGAGCCCCATTTTTTTTTAAACTTTTTTTTTTTTTTATCGGTACCGGGGATCGAACTCAAGACCATGTGCTTGCAAGGCGGGCACTTTTGCTGCTGAACTAAATCCCCAGCCCCCTACCCCCATTTATTTTTAAAGCACTCTGGATATAGAACCCATCCTGCTTCTCAGTGTCCTTGGCCTGCAGGGAGCACGAGCCAGATCTGTTGGGGATGGTAACAACAAGCACAAAGACACGCTCAATTAATTCACCTTACTGGACACCTAGTAGCGAACCATGGGGTTTGGGACCGTGTAGGAATGGAACAGGCAATACCTTGATCGCTCTCAGAACTGGGATAAAGGTTGAGTCACTTCTTCCAAATGGAGGTTTTGTGGATTGAAAATGTAGTGGTAATAAATTCATACAATGAATAGATATTGCCTAAACAAAATTTCTTATTTATAATTAGTCCTAATTATCATAGTAATAGTTCAAATGCATTACTCTCATAGCATTTTTGTCTTTAAAATGTTGATCTACCATAGCCCATGCTGTGTTCCTGCTACTCTAGGGTGCATAACTATGCAAATTTATTTTTACCTCAAATTATCTTCTTAAATTTACCGATGGAGAAACTGAGGCACAAAGGAGTCCAGCATGAATCTCAGTAGAGTTCAAACTAAGGTCTGATCCCTGGGTCTTGTCCCCAGAGATTGTTCTGATTTTATTTGTTCTATTGTTGTTTGGTTTTTTGGTTTTAGGATTTTGATTTTTGGTGGGTGTTTTGTTTTTTGTAATACTAGGGTTGAACCTAGGGCCTTCACACTGAACTATATTCCCAGTATGTAAGGTTTTGGTGGTGGTGTTTTTTTTTTTTTTTTTGAGATAGGGTCTCATTATGTTTCTAAATTGTCCAGACTGGGCTTGAAATTACAGTCCTGCCTCAGTCTCCCAGGGTGCTGGGATCGCAAGTGTGTGCTTACCATGCCTGGCTGGATTCTGACTTGATTGCCTGTACACACACCTGTGCATCAGGACTTTTAAAGGCTCCCATGTGATTCATATATGAAACCAAATTTGAGAAACCTTTTTGAGTAAAAAGAACTAGCTTAAACAAGTCTAATTATGTAACCAATTCAAGGGTTTTTATTGCCTTCCTGGGCTTTAAATTTTATTTTACCCCCCTTTCCTACCTACCTTAAAAAAAATACTACTAAGTCAAAATATTCCAAAAGAAAAAAAGAAGAACAAAATAAGAGCCTGAATATGTCCTGGGATATTCCATGCTGACTAATAAAAACCAGCCTTATTGAAACAAAAATATGGATGCATTCATCTTTTTGTACTGCTGGAATTTGTTAGAAATTAAATGAACCCCAGTGACATGGTAATAATATATGAAACCACTTATCTATATTCATAAATTATAAATGATGGCATGAAATTTCACTTTCCACTTGGGCATCTTTTCCTCTCTTTGCTTCAAGGTAGATCTTAATTTACTTTGCATTTTCTCCCCAAGCACAGTGTGAATTGTACACTTGGGATGAAAATGCGAAGTAAATTAAGGTTGTCCAGGACCGTGCTGAAGAGGGTCAGAGGTTCTGGGGTGCTAAACAGCTGGGGATGGTTAGCGAGAACCCGGGCTGCACAGTGGGGGGAAATGGAGCTGCTCTTGAAGAGCTCGCTAATGAATTTGGAATTGTTTTAAACTAATCAGAATATTCTGGTAGTAAACTGCTCCAGACTGCCATGCTTCTCATAAATCTACAAATATTTTTAATAATAGAGTCTGGCAAGGAATAGACTGGAAATAAGATCCATGATTCAAATCCAAAAATCTGTGAGGGGAGGAGGGCTTTCTAATGCTTGGCTCCTGAGATGGTTTCCCTGAGGAAAGAGGGAATTCACTCTGCTGAGTGACCTCACATCCGAGCCCCCGCATGCTCCCCTCAGTTCTTCCCCAGCAACCCCTAGAGAACAGAGGCCCAGGCTGGGAGGCTGGGTCTCCTGCAGACAGCTGTGAGAGTTCATTTTCCATTTTGCAAACTAATTTTGTTCTTGTCAGTCGCAATGCTCTGCCAAGTGGTGGATGGGAATTTCTAAATCAAAAACCACTAACTTCAAACCACAACCAGCCTGTGTCAAACTTCAGAAACTACTCCCCAACCAGAAAGTATGGTAATAATACTGTAACTATTTGTAAAATACTGCCAGGTTTGTCACGTTTAGAAAATTCATAGCATGTTTTTGGCACACAATCTGGTCAGAATAATGGCAATAAAGACATATATATGAAAATGTATGTTTAATGGCCCTATTTATTTTATTGGTGCAAGACAGTAAGTTCGCTAAATCTCCCTTATCAATCCGCATGACTCAGGTATGCATCAGATCCTGCAAAGCCAGTTGTTTATGTCTTTTAATCCAATTAGGCTGAAAGCATTTGAATTTTTATCAAAAAATGCCTGCAGACCTTCTCGTTGCCACGGGTGTGTGTGTGTGTGTGTGTGTGTGTGTGTGTGTGTGTGTTTACATCCTCTAGCTGAGCTGCCTTATTTCACTGGGGGAAAAAACATCCTGAAATGTTTTAAGGTATGAAGTCAAAAGCAACTCTGAGCACTTGCCAGAGTTCTTTCATTACTTTCGTTGGCTTGACGTGAACCAGTAACCCCAGGGAAACACAAACCTTCACCTGAACATCCAGGCCCCACCTTCGGAAAGAGTTGCTTGGAGTCTTGACAGCAGATTAGGACCAGAAGGACCTGGGAAATGATACCGAAGTCCACTGTGAGGTGGTAAGAAAGCAAACCCTTAGCCCAAGGACTGGCAGGGGGCAAAAGCCAGGCAAAGGTATTTCTGGAGGGCATGAGGAGGAGGAGGGATTGCTCAACAAGAGATGAATCTTCCTCAGAAAATCAAACAGGAGCTGCTTCTATGGAAACCGGGCTATTTTTCTCCTTATCTGTGCCCAGGCTGCTAATGCAGCTTGTGCCAATCACATCACCACACCACTGGCAAAATGCAACTTACTTTCATCCAGGGATAGCGGGGCCAGCTGGGGCTGCCACCTGCATGCAGGGGCCTGGGGCCTCGACCTTATTAGGTCAAGTCAGCACATGCCAGGGAAGTGGACACTCTGTCTTCATTTAGCGTAAAAGTTTCTAACTGCATCCCACAGGAACATTCCTCTGACATGCTCAGTATTCCTTTTATTGACCTCCAAATGCTTCCCAGGCTCCATTACATCCTATCCAAATACTCTTTGTTTTTCCAGCTCCTAATTCAATTCTCATTCTCCCTCACTATTGTTTGATTTTCATCATGGAAAAGATGATTCATTAAGTATTTTCACTTCACACATCTGGAGCTCTTTGATAGCTGGACAGTGTGCTAGGGAACACGACGTGATGCGGTAGAAAGAACATAGCTTCAGACCTGGCTGAGCCCTGACTGGACTGTTCCATAGCTGTGTGACCTTGAGCAAATGACTTCACCTTGCTGAGCCTCAGTTTGTTTATCTGCACAATTGCACCAGTGATGCATGTGCTGGACACCAGCACAGGGCCCCTGACGGTGAAGCCTTACCTCGCCGTCCTCTAAATGTCTTCCTCTTTTAGACTGCCGTGCAGCACCACCCAAGGTGTGCTTGTTTCCCTTTGCCTCACAGGACCTGGAAACCTCCCACCTCCCCAGGGCGGGGGCTCCCTGCACTTCTTCCTGCCTGTCTCTATCCCCTTCTCCTGCCTTCATGCTTTCCTTTCCCACTAGCTTCTTCCTGAGACACAAATATACACACGTTTCTTTTGTCCTTTTTAGGACAAAAGAAGCTTCTCTCTATCTGTGACCTGATCGCAGTTTTTAAACTGTTTTATAATTGAAGTTCATAGAAATCACTTTTCCAAAGTGGCCTGGAACTCTGCTGAGCGTGGTTTAGAACCACATGTATGTTAGAGGTGAGTCCTCATGCGACACCACTGTCTCAGCGTGGCCTGTTTCATTCAGGTGGAGCCCAAACGATGCCAGGGGCATGATGCCAATATTTGTAAGAGCTTCAGCATCATTTCATGCCTTGTCAAATGTTTAAATACCCTCAAAAATTCTAACATAGACTCCAAGGGTGTTGGTCTGACTTAAATTCCAAGGGCCTGTTTTTCACCCACCATGTTTAAAAAAGTATTTCTATGCAGCATTGAATTAACCCTTGTGTTTAAAACTCTGGACTATGTACTGATTATCAACCGACTTCTCTTCCACTTGTGCAGTCAGAGACCGGGTATACACTGCACGCATGTCTGAGTAGAAAGCAGTCCTTCACGGGTCATATACTGACATGGGGAAGCTTGCTTGATTCCTAATTGAGACTAAGGCTTCAGTTCTGGGATCTTTTTCCTGCTCATGCGTGGTTAGTCTTTTCCCGTTCATTGGTTTTCTCCCCAACTACCTTTCCACAGGATCCCTTTCCTAGGCCTGAGCTGGTTGAGCCACTGTTCAGCAAGCATGCCTGAGGCTTCCTACTCACATATCTCATGCAGCCAAACACCACTTTTCCTCCTTTCTGGCTGCCACATTCTCTTCATCACTAAGGACGAAGTCAGAGCCCACGTCCCTCATAAAGTCTGTCCTGCCTGCTCCCAATGGGAGACAGGTCCTCTCTCCCCTGGACTGTCTGGGGATTTCTAGCTAAGTCATGAGGCTAAGCCACCTGGCAGTTCTTTCTTATCTCCCTGATTTATTTCATTATTCAACGTGGTCTGTGTGTACTCTCCTCCTGGGTAGCCTGCAGGGTTCTAGCAGGCAGAGATCATTTCCTTCTTCTATTCCTAACACACCTTCTTCATAGATCCCCATTTCTAATATCATCCCACTTTAAGTGATGTCCACTTTATTTCTGACTCTTTCCACAATATAGCATTTAAAAAAAAACACATTCTGCTATGTTTTCTTCCTCTACATTTGGTTTCAGATGTGTTTAAATAATCATTAGCTATTCCTTCTTCTGCCCATTAATCGATAAATCCAAGAATATTGTAAAGTGAATAGCCTCCGTGTGCAGGACCCTATACAAAGTGTTTGTATTAAAGACTATGAAAAACTTGCCAGATGTGCTGTAACCCCAGCACTCAGGAAAGCTGAGGCAGGAGGATCTCAGCCTGAGCGATTTAGCAACCTAGCAAGATCCTGTCTCAAAATTAGGAAAAGAACTGAGGACTGGGGATGTTGCTCAGTGGGAAGACTCTGAGTTCAGTACCAGAGAGACAGGGAGAGAAGAGAGAGAGAGAGAGAGAGAGAGAGAGAGAGAGAGAGAGAGAGAGAGAGATTGCAGAAAACTTATAAAACATGACACAAAAGGGCAAGGGCAATGATAGATTAATAGATACATAGATAGATGGATGATAGGATCGCAATACTGAAAAATATAAGTAGGAAAAATTAATTAATGAAAAAGCTTTAGGGATTTGCAGAAGCATTATTAAACTGGATTTCACTTAAATGAAGAAAAATGTCTTGGAATAGGTCATTCAGACTCATGTTTTTAAGGATAAAGCAACCCCAGGGTCCCCAAGCACAGGGCCCATTTTTATTTTTGCTCACCACCATTTCCCCCACCATCTACCTCAGTTCCTGGTTCCCTAAAAACCTGAAATTAATGTTCAGTAAATAAATGAATGACCAAAGGCTGAAAGGAGGAATAAGCTCCACGTGGAGAGGACAGCCTTGCAAATACAGCAAGCAGTCGGCTGGGGAGCTGCCGATTTATTTTCTTGGATAGAAACAAGAAGTGATGTCCACAGTGATAGAGAGGGAGGAGAAAAGAAGAATGAGGAATGGCATTGGAGGTCTTGCTGAAAACGTGGGTTTATCAGATATCAACAAATGCTTCATTATCTCTTCATCCATTTATATTTATTAAGCATCTACGATGGGCCAAGGCACTGCACTAAGACCTAGGGATTCTATGAGTGAACAAAACATAGTTTCCGTCTTTGAAAATTGTGCATCCCTTAAAAAATTTTTTTTCTATTAGTACATGTTTGCAGTACGTAACGATTATGCAGCCTTTTCATCATGAGCAGCACACACTCATGCTCCTGCTTCTTGTTATTCTAACGGGATTTAGTACAGGAGAGCAACTTGCCCAGCCTCAGTCATAGAAAGCTCCAACAGAGAGCCAAGGCCTTAGTGAAAATGCGCTCCAACATGCAATATGTCATAGTAACAGTTGATCTGAAGGCCACAAGGAGCATTTTAAACTTGGGGAAAAACTGCCTCAAAGGGTGTCTGGGATTGTAGAATGGCTGGTTGAGCAGAAGTGGAACAGACCTGAGTCTGTTTATAGTTTGCATGAGCTCAAGCCTGCCGTCTCCTTGGCTTTGGGTCTACATGGTAAGGGAAATGTATGCAGGCTGATTTTAGGAAGAATTGTCTACATTAACTTTCTCCTTATTATGTATGTTAGAGTTCAGTTTAGAAATAAATCTCTGAGATTCAGGTAATACCAGGACAATTAGTTGCAGAACAGACATGGATGTGAATAAGACCTTGAAAAGTACTTCCAGCAATGGCGTTTCATGAGGCAATCTTGGCTGGCGTGGGTCTGCATGTTCTGAATTCTGAGATTACAGACTGGAACTACAAGATTTTGGCTTCATTTCCCATGACCCTCATTTATTTTCTTTTTCTTTCTTCCCTTATTCCTTCCTACCTCCTTTCCTTCTTCCCTTCCTTCTCTCCAGGATGATGGCCTCCCAGAAAATGAACATCAGCTGTCAGTAGCTGGAAAGATAAAGAAGCATTTCAACACCGGCCCCAAGCCGAACAGCACCGCTGCAGGAGTCTCTGTCATAGCAGTAAGCATCTGAAATAACCACCTCTAACTTTTTAAAAGCAGCCTGCCTAGGAGACAAGCATTACTCGAGGGATTCTACCGAGAGACAGCAGAATGGGTCATTTCTTTAGACAACTCTACCACTTAATGCACAAGAGGCGGTGTGGGGCTTATAAATGTGAGTGTGTTTTTACAGATCATTTCCCTGGGTGTCAAATCATTATCCAACACCTCCAGGGTATCTTGCAGTATATATTAGTTTCATGATTTATTTTTTTAAAGCAAACTCTCCCCCATGCTGGACTCTGTGCCAATATAAACCCTTTGGCTGTTGAGAAAAGAGTTAGTAGTGTCCTTTTGCCAAGACCTAGAGGGAAAGGGAAGCTGAGAGAGACAATATATAGAGACTGGAACATTACTGATCTTTCTACTGGACCTAGAGTAAAACCACAGATTCGCAAAACGCTTACACTATAAGGTTTTTAGTGAGATTGAATTGCTGTGAACACCCAGTGAAGTCACTATGTTTTGCTCCTGATAAATTTCTGTCCTTAAAGTTGAAACCCTTTAACAATTCACCATTTTATTGATACGGCTGCACAAGATTTCTTTCTTTCTTTCTTTCTTTTCTTGTTCTGTCCTGTGTGTGCAGACATACATTACATGCAATTTGATAGCTGCTCTAGGCAAAGATTAAATTGGACCAAGAAATAATGAAACCTCATACTTCCTGGTATCATATTCTAGGGTAAATATATTTAAATCCCAGATTACTTGAGTTTTTAATAATTTCCTCTTTTTCCAGAGTACGTAAATGTTAACAGCACATTCAATGTGAAAATCACTTCAGCTGGTTTTTTTCCTAAACAATGAACTTGAGACATTATGATGTCAAATTTTTAGAAATTATTTATGCTATTCATTCCCTCATACTCCTGGGCCATACTGAATATTTAACTCCTTTTATGAGTATTTCTACTTTATTTCTCTCTCTTTTTTTGTTTGTTTGTTTTTCTTTTGGCTTTGCTAGAGCTCCAAATAAAACTAAAGAGACATAAATTACCTACTGAACACAACCAGTCCCAGAGCTGGGTTACCAAATATTTGAGAGAATGGTATAAATGCATGCATGCACACTGTGCACTGTTGCATTTCCTGTTTCTCAGCTGAATCTTTTCAGCAGTGAATTCCATGTGTATGGGAAGCTGGCACACGAGTAAACGGCCAGTGCTAACGAGAATGCATACTCTTCCGATGCTCCTCAGAGGTGCTGAAGTTTTAAAATTTCAAGTTGTTCTTCTTTCCTCTCTTTAGTTCTTTCCAGACTGTCAGTGTTCTTTATCAGCTGCTGTTCACTCAGTAATTTTTGCAAGTAACAGTCTCACCATGATGCTCAACCAAATCAAAGCTTCTATGCTCCTGTTTTCATTGTTCATCCAAAGTGCAAGTCTGTTCCAAAACGTTTGATTCCAATTGTGCACAGTTTTCTTTTGGAATGGGCTGCCAGCACGCTTGTCCATGAAAAGGACTGCCTTTCTGCTCCTGCTCAGGGCCCTGCTGCTGCTAATGAGAGTGCCTTTTCCACCTTGTCATTTTCTTTTTGTTTTCTTTTTACCTGGTCTTTTGCTTTAATTAGTCTTTGGTTAAGTTTGCTTTGGTGGCTCAGCAATGATTCGTTCACAGTATTCTGGGAGGCCTATAGTGACTAAGGGCAGAAACTTCAGGGCAGTTTTCCAATTTATGGATAACAGATATTTAAGGGAAAGTCCTATTTTAATCAAATGTGAATAAATTCTGAGACCTAATTCTTATGAGTTTATTAAACCTTCGTCTAAATGTATCTCAGAACACTAAAGTTTAGTATTTGAAGTTCAAAGGCCCACTGACTTTTTTTCTAAATATCATGATTGGACCATTTTGAATATAATTTTTAACACATTTCTCATTCATCACCAACGTGTTTTCCATGAAACCTGTACAAACTGCTTATATATAAATAGTGCAGCAGCCCGTGTACTGCTGTTACACATTCATTGCATGCTTGTTCAATGTTTTTTTTCACCTCTACAAAGCTTTTTTTAGCATTATTAACTCATATTCAAATTAATTGGCTGCTTTTGGAAAAGCATCTCAAACCGTGCCCTGTAACCTCCTGAGTACAATCCACATGTTAATTACTGCCATTAAAATTTCCAGTATGAAAGAGAATATCAATGTAAATTTTAGAGGCTGCTTCAAGAGAAAATTGTCTGCCATAGTATGTGCCTTTAGGCACCTTTTCCAGGATACTTTCCCTCAAAAACGTCCCCACTCTCCACAAGAATCCCAGGGAGGTCATGAGTCCCAAGGTGGGCTTCACATTAGAAACTGGAACAGCAGCGGCTAAGTCCACAAAGTTGCAAAGAGCAAGTGTTAGGGATCTACCTCAAGAAAGAGGAGTCCTGCCATTCAATTCAATTCAGTCATATTCACTGCAACCCCAAGTATAGACTGCCAAATAAGAACATTTATTGAAGGGGCTAGGGATTTAGCTCAGCGGCATAAGCGCCTGCCTTGCAAGCAGGCAGTTGTGAGTTCAGTCCCCGGTACCGATAAAAAAAAAACAAACAAAAAAAAAACATTTATTGTGAGGCAGAATATAAGTGGAAGATAGAAAAAAATATCATTTGTAAATGGAATATTCTACAAAGGCTACAGGACAATTTAATAATTCAGCATAAAAAGTTCACATCATAAAAAATTCTATAATTGATTTAACACCCTGATGACATCTATTTGATGTACAAAAATTTATATCCACATATATTTTATTCACACAATTTTTCCTGGGCAAAAAGATTCTCTCTCTGGAGGTATGCAATAATTTGTTTTATTTCAAACTTTTGTTACTTCAGGACTGACTTTTTGGAAACATGTACACCTTTAAAAACTTTAAACCTGTAGTGTCCGTTTGTTTTGATTTCTATAGGAAGTCAACAAATAAATCATTAGTCTTTACCAGACACTTCGCTTTTCTTGTTAGAACTCTGACTACCTGCTAGAGGTCAGTCACACTTATAGAGGAGTTTATGACAATTTTCTTTCTTGGAATGATGAAAGGAAGAAGTGCACACTGTCATAACAAACAGACCCTATTCCTGGAATAATTATGGCAGGACTGTAGTTTAACATGTACGCGTAGTCTCAACCATAGTGTTTTGGTTCATGTTGTCATTTTTTTCTTCTCTGTTTCCCACTCCCTACATCATTAAGACCATAAAAAGGACAGATGATAACTTTATAGGGAGGTTGAACGCAGACCCTGAGCTGGCGGGCAGAGTAATTACTCGCTGAAGGTTCCCAGGCATCAGTGGGCCTCTGAAAGAAGGAAAGGTGTCCTGACACTGGGTCAAGCAGTGGGATTAGACAGAGACTCATGGCTGTCAGTAGAACTGCAAAATTCTGTCCCTCAGAAAGATGCCATTGTCGCTGTTACCTTTCCCAGTGCACCGCTGGGAGATTTAACACACACACACACACACACACACACGCAGGCACACACACACACAGAGGAGAAAGGGAAACAAAAGGTTATTAAAATGCAATTTATAGACATAAAATGGAATTAGAGATGACATTTTAACGGTGGACTTTTTGAGAGCTGAAGGAGGAGAGGGAGGCATTATTAGATTTGCTCAGCTTGATGAAGAACTGATGACTAAAATGTCAGTTCCAATTTATTTTTCCCCATTTAATGCTGTTTATTATTTTAAGCGATAATTTTCCTAATGCTTTAAAGCTCTTCTTTTGCATTTTGCTCATGCAAATAGAGCATTTCAGTCTAATTGAACAAATCCATACTAATCAGTGTGCATATAATTGTGATACAGGCAGCCTATTTCTGAAACGACCTTGTGGCCCGCCATATGAGACTTCGCCTATAGATGGCAGTAGAGAACCAGTTACTATGTAGACATCTTTGTGGCCTAAACCTATGTTACACACTGTCTTCCTAAGAGTACTTCAGATTTTTTTTAAAAATAAGACCAAATATATATTTTTTAAAAAGTAAAACTTCAGGTTGATTTCCATGAACTATGGTTTCTAATCAAAGCACCAAATCCTCCAAGCGTGTTTTAGTTTAAATGCTTGATACCAGAGCATGTTTTTGAAATGCCTTTGTGAATTTAGAAGTAGGAACTGTCAACAGCATCACACCCGCACAACACTTGAAAGAGTTCACAAGCCCCTCTGAAGAAACGTTTTCAGGCTGCGTCCTACCAAGGATAGGACAGGAAGTGGACGTGATGGTTGTTTCTCCCAGTTTTGAGATTAAACCTTTTACTCCCAGGTAGTCAATTGCTAACAACTATTCCAGGATGAACAACTTTGAAAATTTATCCTGTCTTCTATTTACAGGGCCTTTGATTAATTGTAAGCCTTATCTATGCTTTTTTGATACACTGTGAAAATGATATTCCATTTAAGTTTATTGTCCTGAAGAAATTTTACTTTTATATTATATCTCTTCAGTTCAGAAATGTAATTAGGATTCGCCTTCTTTAAGGATAAGCTCTGCTTTCAAAGATCAGCTTGCAAAGAAAAAGACCCAAATGGCTGTGATTTATGGGGTTTTAAATCCTATTTCTATTTCATTTTAAATTTATGAAACACTCAAATTTAAAACTAATAGAGTAATATTGGGGGGAAGGGGTCCAATCTGCTTTCTCTTAGGTGTCGAAAACTGATTTCAGAACTTTATTTAATTACAAAACATTTTCCATTCTATAGTATATGAAAAAGTGTTTGTAACTTTTGAAATTGAGAGGACATTATTAAATGTGCATTCAAGAGCCTGTTTGACAAATCAGAGCGATGCTAACAAATTGGCCTCCAAGATTTCATGAGGGATTAGTGTCTTTTCTTGCCTTTCTATTTCCAGTGTGCAGATTTACGCTATTAGCTAGTTTCCCCGCAGAAGAGGCATCGTCACTATGTGTGTCTTTATAGTTAATGGAGAACAGCTTGGTCTGGAGTCTTAATTCGTTAGCACAATGTTGATCCACTGAGTTGCCCCATTTCTCTCTGCTCAGCTGGACCACGGGTTTACCATCAAGAGATCAGGGTCTTTGGACTACTACCAACAACCAGGAATGTATTGGATAAGGTATGAGATGGTGCAGCTCAACAGTCAGTGTTTCCATGGCAACGTGCTGGCAGTCTCCATTAACCAGTTCCTTCAGTGGATAAACATGCTTTTGATTTGTTATCCAGTCCATATGCTGCTTTATCAGTTTCATTTTAATCTTGATTGAGATGCCACACCCCCTCATTCCTTTTTTTCACCCATTATTCACACTGACATTTGCCAGCTTTCTTTCCATTGCACATGCTCAGTATCAATTTTCCTATGGTTAAAAGGACAGTATATTTAGTGCTAATGCCAAAGCATTTGCCTGATGCTGCTAATTAAAGCAATGATTTTCAGTGCTCTTCAGTCCCTCAATAAATGAAGAACAATAGCACCTCAGTGTACGTTCTATAGAAGTATATACTGTCATTTTAAAGTCATCAAGCCCAACCTTGACCTAGATGAATGAAACAATGCATTTACACGTTAGTAGTAGAAGCACCTCACAGTACAGTGGGCTACAGAATGCATTGTGTGTGTTGGTAAGCTTGTGTTTTCAAATTCTCCACCTTTTTGTTTTGTTTTTGTTTTATTGTTACCTCTCTCCCCCTGGAAATCCCTTTATGTACTAGCTATTGCATGAATTTACTTTTAAATATTTTCTGTCAGAATATTTAGCTGGCTTCTCTGCTCAAGCAAAAGGCCTGTGGGATTTTTTTTAACTGTGTTAAGAATCCTATCCTGTTGCTCTCTCTTCTAGTCGATGGCCCTGGCATTTTCCTGCAAGGGCCATTGTGTGTATGTTTTTAAATTACCCACAAGCAGGATGGCTTTGGATGGTTTGAGATACGAACTCTGAGAAGTTCCTTAGAACTTAACAGCTTAACATCTCTGAAATGATCTCCAGGTAAAGCTCCACATCTTAGTGTTTACCAGGAAAAAAAATCCACATGATGGAGCCTGTTGGCAGCTATCCAGTTTGCCTGAAATTGTTTCATGGATTAGACTGCCGATTTTTACCTCTCCCCAAAAATTGTGTGTGCATATACATGATGGAGATACAGGATATATGTATATAATGTATAACTGAAGCCTCCAAATTTGCTCCTAATTATGTTTCCCTAGTTAGACATTCCAAACAAAGGACTTAGGAAAGAGACTGACAAATAATCAAACTACACTAAAATCATAATAGTTTTGAGGTCTATTTAAAATAAGAAAACACCCAAGCCTCAACAACATATTTTGAAGTTGTTTTGGTAGTGAAGGCTATTTGTATCTCCCATATTGGTGTGCATGTAGCAGCTGCATATCCACTCTTTAATTTACCTGGGGAAATTCACTTTATAGATGTAGAAAAAACTTTTTTAAATTTCTAATCCTTTTTGGGAGGAAAGAGGGTGAATGAATTATGATTTGCCTTTGTACAGACTCTGTGTTTTGACTTTTTAATGTGGAAGATGATCTATCCATCTCTTCCTTTTTACTGAAAGATAATGTACATCCCAAGGAGTATGCAGCTTCTGCATGCACATCCTGATGGAGTTTCACGACCCAAGCATGCCCTTGTAGGTAGCTCCCAGATCAGGCACAGGACATTCCTGGCCTCCCAGAGTCCCCCTCCCAGACCACTAGAGGGTCACTTAGCCCCAGGGTTAAACACTGACCTCTGAGTCTATCCACATTAATTAGCTTTGCCTGGTTTTATACTGTGTATAACTGAATCATACCATGTGCCTTTGTGTATCTCCTATCCTCAGGCATCTATATGTAAAGTTGATAAACTGGACAGCCAACCAGACATCTACATGTAAAGGTGATATACAATTAAAAATAATCATCAAGTATAGCCAGTTACAGTTGTGCATATTTGTATAACAAAAGTTACACACGTAAGTCCATCTGATTAAAAACAATCTGCCTCTAGAAATTAAGTTGCTAAATTTGAAGTAGCAAAGTCCCAAGTAAACATAATCATTAATAAGCAAATCCAAGTATAAAAGGCCATTTAACTACAATCCTAGTGATGGTTCCCATCAGCAGACAAAATGACATACCCCTGAATAATGGGCAGGAGCAGATGGGAGATAATCTCTTTCTTATTCCTCACATAAACTGCTCTGTTTTCCAGCTGGGGGCAGTAACAACAATGTTTATAGTTAATGCTGTACTAAACAGGGCACCCAGTATGTAAAGCTAAATTGGAGAAATGAGGCTAGAAACTCACTGGTGTCTAGGCTTAATTAGGAAGTTTTATAATGCCATTTAGCCCCAGAATGAACACACTCTCCTCACTGATTGCAAATGCTGGCCTTTTATCTCCACAGAAGTGGGAGCATTTGTCTAACCACAGTGGCAGCCAACTTTCCAACATAAACAATCATTACAGGCGAACATCCCTGCTCCCGATTGTTTTGTTTATAAGTGCTTGTGGCTGTCTTCACTACCCCCAGCAGAACATGCGAGAGTCACACTTGCATTGTGTAAAGCATTTCACACCAGGCTATGTCTGGAAAAGCCATCTCCTTGGGGTGCCCAGAATTGGTGCGATCCTCTTAACTGACTTTTGGGTGATCAAGGAGAAATGGTGGGAGTCCATTTTCCTCTTGTTCTTTATTCTCCTACCCCTTAAAAGAGAGCCACTTCCAAGCTGTAGCTGGGGAGCAGCAGCCCCTGGATGAGCCATTTATCCAGGACACCTTAGTCCGGTCACCCGAAGTCAGGCTATTTGTATCTCCCATATTGGGGACAAATAATGGGGACAAACTCCCTGGATTATCCCACACCCACGGGGACCATGAACCCATCGTGTTTCCCAATTGGAAAACATTTACATCTTGTTATACATTTCCCTTCTGAAAAGCTGTCCTTATCTAAGAGGAGATGCAGTCACATCTCCCAGATGAAGCTGTCATTATGGTACATTGTATGGCTGGCCAATAACATAGAAAAGAATTCCGCCTTTGCGCATATAGAACAGATGAACAATGGGAACCAGGTAAACCAATTAAATAACATAAACAACAAAACAAGACATAAGCTAAGAATGCTAAACAATATAAGATGGGGAAATGAGCCAGATCAAAGGGTGGTTGGGTTTCCAGGCATGATGTGACTAAAATGTGCATACTGCATTCTGCCCTGTCCCAAAACAGTGAGTAATGAGGCACAGCAGTGGCAGCACCGTCTTACAAGCCTATTAAATGCTGACATGCTCAGTTGTTAAAAATAATGGGGTCAGTTACATGCGTCTCACTCATTTGCAAGGACTGTTTGGAGAAGCCAGGGAGGAGCCACAGCAGGATGTGAGAAGGGTTCTTGAGTGTGAGTCAGCCAGTAGGGGCTGAACGCTGGCTCTGCTCTGCCAAATGAGGATGTGCTCCCTGCTGACTGGCAGAGGCTGCCAGAAGGAAGGGGAGATGATTCTGTCCCAGCAAGGGACGAGCTGCCACTCCACCCCCTTCTGAAGCTCCCTCTGAGTGTGTAGGAGAGAGGTCAACACATAAAAAAGCACAGATTTAAACTTTACGACCACTTGAACTGCAATGACAAAGAAGTTTTCAGGAAGTCCTGTGATTAGTCTTACAGTTGTACATGGATGCTCCCATGAGTGAGTTCTTAGGGTAGAAAGTTCAGGAGATCAGCAAGTCTGACACCTATTGCAGCATTATGAGAGGTCACTACAAGAAATATATTAGTAGTAAGTCATCTATGTCATTGCACCAAGTCTTAACAGGTACCTCACTGTTTGAGGTTAGGTTTTGCTTTCTTTTGCTTTAAGATGCTTCTTAAAAAGGGATTGCAGCAATCTATATGGGTCCTTTTTAAAAGTTTAACATCCTTGTCACAGAGAAAATGCCATGGCATCTTAAGTCTTACTCCCTAGATGTACATTGAACTGAGATTATATACATTTTCCTGACATCTTGATGATTCAGTATTGATTGACTATTATGTGATGTCATATTTACTTTGAACTTGCTTTTCTGCCCTTTTTTACTTCAAAGTAAATATCTACATTTTGTCTACACAGTCATTCCTGCCATACTTTGAAAATGTTCTCCAGTGATGTTCAGTGATGTGATTAAGACTTGCTCATGAGTGAACATGTAAGAATAAATGGAAAGAGCTTAGCTATTAGTACACATGCTATCAGGAAAGAGTATAAATGTCCACACACTGCAGTCAGATAATTCTCAGATGCACGTGAAATGCATAACACTTTTAGAAAGTAAACAATCTTGAGGATTAAGATTAAATGAATGTGATGAAAGATTGGCAGTCCTGCGGATGGAGAGAAGCGGGCTTTGGAGTCAGGAAGGCTTGCATTTGGATCTAGCCTGGCCTGGAAGAATGACCCTGGAAAGTTAACATTCCTTTTCTGATTTTCAATTTCCTTATCTATAAAAAGGAGAAGACTATTATCCTCTTCCCAAATCTGTGTGAGCACAAGAGCTTTCAGAGATGAGCTCAAAAGAGAAATTGAAAAAAGATTGCTATGTATTTTCATTTCCAAGGGAGAATCTCCACAGTAGAGGCAGATTCTCCTGAGAAAATTATCTCTCTCAAAATGAAAGCATTTGGTATTAAAGGGGGATGAGAAAGTTTTTGTATGCTCTGATGAGAGTAAAAATTACTGAACAATTTCTATTTTTCACAAGCTCTTGTAACATCAAGTTTCCTTAAAATAGCCACAGCCAAAGGCCCCAGTGAAGTATAAGATTCAAATGCTGTCCCATGCAGCAGGAATGGCGAGCTGACAAATGCACCACATCTAACCCCTTGCTTATTTTAGTGAGTTTCATTGGATGCAGCTACATATGTTCATTTATAAATATTGGAGGCTGCTTTAGCTGAATAGTTGTACCAGAGAATCACTATTTAGCCCTTTCCATAAAAAGTTTCCCAGCACTCATTCAAGGGGAAAATGTATCTAAATAAAAGGTGCCACCTATAAAAATGCAAAGTCTCGGGCCAGGGATTTAGCTCAGTGGCATAAGCGCCCACCTGGCAAGCGCAAGGTCCTGAGTTCGATC